CAGTCAGGCAGTCACCAGCAATGGGAGGGTGTGAGTGCTTTTGCCATAGGGATAATCACTGTGGGGACATCCCAGTGGGCAACAGGGTGCCCAAAGACAAGGGTTGCAACCTTCCACCCAGCCCCACAACAAGATCACCAAGCCATCTTCGCACACATCAGTTTTATATCAAAGGGTCATGTTTTCAGCTGGTCTGTCCCCTATCTGATAATTTTATGTCCCATGACCTGCCTCCTGAAGATGCTGCAACATTTGAGGTCAGAGGGAGTTCACATTGCTTGAAATACAATTGGGATAAAGAACAGGGTGTGAAAAAATATACTGCTGGACAAAAAGGTAGTTTATCTCCTGACCTTAAGGGATCCAAGTTCATTTCCAGGCCAGATCCAGGTATGAAGCCATAACTGGGCCCCACACAGTATTCACTGCTCAGCAGATCAATTCAGTAGATTTGTCCTTCTGGGACACAGGAATTCTTTCTGTGTTATAGGTCATGGAGGGGAATGTTCTGTGCGTTTTGCTCCATTAGTGTCTGCCCTAACCCACATGTCAGCAGTGACCATTGAAGTGGTCTCAGGACAGGAGTGCCATCCTCCAATTTCCCTGCCACTTAACAAGAAGCATGGAAGTGGAAAGATGATGGGCACTCCACTCCATGCCTTCCCTCGTCATTTTACAGGCTCTCCAATGTCCACAATCTCACAGGTAATCCCTAGAAAGTTGCTAAAATCCAAATTTGCTGTGCACGTGGAGTTTGATGTGTAGGGGATTATTTGAAGTTATTATGCTACATTTGGAGCTTGAGATGCGAGGGAATTAATCATTGTTACATCGCATGTTGGGTTTATACTGCAGAGTAATTATTTGCAATTACGTAAGACGAGATAAAAGCAGCTATTTATTCCCAACATAGTGATCTTACATTAGTGTTACCTGCAGATTTTTGTGCTGCATTCATAGTTGTGCTGACAGAAAGCTTGAATGGGTTTATCACCACTGACCACTCTCCAGAAGGGTGTATTCCGGGATACTCGTCTAAGCAGGGATCTCAGAAATACTTCATTCTGAATGGGCTTTGAATCCAACTTGAATAAAGAATAATGCAAAATAAATAGAAAATAAAGAATAACATGCCAACAAATAAACAGATTAAGTTCATAATCAATACCAGCATATAAACTAATTTGGTTCAGAATTACACTTTAAAACATACAAGAAACTAGAAAAACACTAGGAGACTAGCAAAGGGGTGGCTATAACATCTCAAAGTTTTTTACATACCAGAAGCTTTCCAGTAGTTCTGCTGAAGAGGCACCTCGCTGGAGTACTAATACTGATAAGTATTGAAGGGGTGTACTATGATTTGACAATGGGTGACAAGCATTGTTAAATTTATTGTTCAAATGATTAATGAAGTGACCATTTCCACATTTACATTTTGTCCTTTTATTGAGTGTGGCAGCACTCAATAACGGACAAGGTTAATATTTGATTAAAAAAGCAACTTAGATAGAAAGGTAACGATGTGGAAGCACTTTTATGCGGAGCTAGGACACAGCAAGGGACAGCAAACATTGAAAGAAGTTCTTTATATTTCACCAAACTGTAGGGTTATTTTGGGTATTGTATAAATCAGGAAATTAGAAATGTATGTATTGTGGGTAAAACTTTATACAAAGACTGGGTTAACCAAATAAGCATTAATTCTGTGGAGGATGACATCCTGGAGTGTGTACAGGATTCGTTCCTGGAGAGGAATGTTGAGGAATCAACTCGTAATGAGACTATTTTGGATTTTGTGTTATGTAATGAGAAGGGCTAACAAGTGACCTTGCAGTAAAAGGAAGAGACTTTGGGAAATAGTGACCATAATTGCTCAAACTTTGCATTAAGTTTGAATGAGATAAAGTTAATTCTGAATCTAGGGTCTTAAATTTAAAGAAAGGAAATTGAGGGGCAAATTAGCTGTGGTGGATTGGGAATGGTTAGAAATCACATGACACCAGATTATAGTCCAACAGGTTTATTTAAAAACACAAGCTTTCAGAGCCTCGCTTATTCTTCAGGTGTTGGTAAGAGGGGTAGTATCAGACACAGAATTTATAATAAAAGATCAAAGGGTCACACCACTGATGAGGATGCACTAAAGAAACCTAAGATGCTGTTAATCTTTAATCAGTTAAAAGGCTTTAATTGATTAATATGTATATGTAAATCCCCAAATTTCTTTAAATTCACTGCCCTGAGAGAACTAAATGTTTTATCAGTGTAAAGAAGAGGTGAAATTTTAGGTCAGACAGTGCATGTTAGGTATGAGGCCTTATTTAGAATCTGTTTGTGTTTTGGTTTGGAGTCAGACTGGCTTTATTTCTCAACTAGGAATTTATAAAATGCCACATTGACTGACTGACTGTCTGTCCATAAATTGTATGCTCTTTGAATGAAATGGAATGTATATGTAAATACAAATTCACCCCATAGATTTACATGTGCGCACGTGTGTGTGAGTGTGAGTGTGAGAGATCTTGGGTCCATGTCGCACTACAGATGACCCCACCATACTACATACTCTCTCTCACTCACACACACACACAAATACACACATGCACACACACACTCTCTCTCCCACACACGTATATGCACAACCACATACACACACATGCACACACGCACACACACTCCATCTCTCTCTCATACACACACACTCTCTATTTGATCTTTTACTTATAGATTCTGTGTCTGATTCTACCTCTCTCACTAACACCTGAAGAAGGAGCGAGGCTTTGAAAGCTTGTGTTTTCAAATAAACATGTTGGACTATAACCTGGTGTCGTGTGAGTTCTGACTTTGTCCACTAAAGCCCAACACTGGCACCTCCAAATCGTGATTGGAAAAATACAGTAAGACAGTACTCAGACAATGACTAGTATTTGAATACCATTGGGCCTACAACAGATGTACATTTCTTATAGGTGTAAACACCGAAAAGGAAAATTACATGAACTACAGTCAACAAAAGAAGTTAAAGATTGCATTGAATCAAAAGGAAGTGGCTTATAAGGATGCCAGAAATGTGGTAAACCTGAAGCGGGAGCAATTTAAAATCAGCAACGGTGACAAAAAACCTGATAAGAATGGGAAAAAAATATATTAATTGAAACCAGCAACATGAAGGCAGGTTGTAAAGGCTTTAGTAACTATATGAAAGGGATTAGCTAAGACATGTGGACCTATTACAGATCGGGGCAGAGAATTTATAATGGAGAGCAGGAATCACCAAAGAAGCTCAACAGTTACTTTTCGTGTGTCATCATGGAAGAAGATACAAAAAGTCCTCCAGAAGTACTAGGGAACCAAAGAATTTGTGAAACTAAAGGACTGAAATACATTAGTATTAATAAAGAGGTAGTATTTTGTCAAAGCTTTTCATCTTCCACCCATCAGAGCAAGAAATACCAATTTAGAGGGAAAGCAACATTTCTTCTGTGTGAGAAGAGAGCGCTACTTGCTTGGCAAGTGGACTCTGATTGGTAAAAGTGCTGCCATGGAGAATGCACCAGTCAAGTAATGGCTGACAGTTAACCGTCAAGCTTTGATTAAAATTTAATGTAGGCATGTTGACTCTTGATTAGTCAAGGCATGGCTCTAAGAAATGAAGCAGAGAGTGTCGAGTTTATTGAGTTGAACCAGGCACATTGTACGTAACAAAAACAGAAATTGTTGGAATGGCTTAGCAGGTCTGGCAGCACATGTGGAGAGAAATCAGAGTTAATGCTTTGGGTCCGGTGACCCTTCCTCAGAACTGTATGTACATTTTTGTACATTGTTTGGACATGCTGTTTCTGTGTGAAAAGAACAGGGTCATATATATTAATATATTTAGCTTCCAATACATGTAAGTGCACCACACTGCAAACCTGACTGACAATTCCAATTGAGATTGTGCTAAGAATCATGCTGACATCATCTAATGTCAATAGTAAGGAAAATATTAAAATCTTTTACAAAGAATCTAATAATTACTGATTTAGAAATGAATGATAGTCTTGGCAGAATTAACATAGATTTATAATAAGGAAATCATTTTTTAATAAATTTATTGGAGATGTTTTAGGATATTTTTTGTAGCATCCATACAGGAGACCTTTGGGTGTAATGTACTTGGATTTTCAGAAGACTTCTGATAACATGCCATGCCATAGAGGAAGTGAATAAATAAAATTATAGCACAGGATGTCAAGTGAAAATATACTAGTATGGATTGAGAATACAGAAATGAGGAATAGAGTAGGAATAAACTGATCATTCTCAGAATGGCAGGCTGTTGCTAGTGGGATATTACTAAGGTTAGTGTTAGGTCTATAGTTGTTCACAATCTACAAAATGATTAGGATGTTGGGTCCAATTATAATATTTCCAAATTTGCTCGTGACACCAAACTAGGTGTGAAGGTGAGTTGTACGGAGAATCAAGGAGGCCTCAAGTGGACTTGACCGGGCTAAGTGAACAGGTTAGAGTATGACAGGTGGAATAGAGTGTGAGTAAGAGGGAAATGATTCACTTTGGTGGCAAAAGCTGAAATGCTGAATATTTCTTAAATGGTGAGAGATTGGGAAGTACAGAGAAAGCAAAGGACCCTGCATGTCCTTGTTCATGAGTCACTAAACATTAGCATGTGAGTGCGGCATGCAATAAGGATTACAAATTGTATTTTGGCTTCCATTCCTATGGAATTTGAGCACAGGAGTATAGATGTCTTCATGCAGTGGTATAGAACTTTAGTGATATTTCACCCGGAGTTTTATGTACAGTTTTGGTCCCCTTATTTAAGGAATTGCATACTTGCCCTAGAGCCAATACTGCCAAGGTTCACCAGATTAATCCCTGGGTAGTAGCATGAGGAGAGATTAAAGAGACTGTGCCTGTGTTCCTTAGAATTTCAAAGAATGAGGGATCACCCTTTGGAACTTAGAAACCTCTTACAGGGCAAAACAGGATGGATTAAAATAAGATGTTTCCCATGGCTGATGAGTCTGAATCCAGAGGACATAATCTTAGATGAGAAGGGGTTTCTTCACTCAAAGGGTGAAGCTTTTGAATTCTAGACCCCAGACGGCTCTGGAAATTTAATCATTGAGCATGTTCAAGATAGTAATCAATAGGTTTTGGAGAATAATGACTTCAAAAAATATGGAGATAGTGCGATAATGTGACATTGAGGAAATGATTAGCCATGATCTGATTGAATGGCAGAGCAGGTTTAATGGGCTGAATGGCCTATTCCTGTTCCCATGTCCCGTTTCTATGTTTCTATGTTCAAATGTTTGTCAAGGATAAACTCACTGATTTTACATGAAGCAACTAGGTACCGAAAGGTAGATTGTGGATAGCTTTAAAGCCCAAATAAATAATCCTGTTGCTTACAGAAAGGGAGCATTAAAGATGAAGAATAAAATTATAGTGGTTTTTTGTAATTCTTCTCAAACAAAGACTTTTCATATCAATATTAACTCCTCCACATGTGTAGAAGATGATTGCGTAGGGATTAAAAGTTTGAAAACCAAGAAAGCGTTCCCATGACACTGCACCTGTCCCTGCTGCTGCCAGGGGCTGTGTTAATATATTCATATCAGGCTCCTGTTATGGAAGTGGGCACCTGAATTATAATTGACTTTTGTCACACAAGTATTGCAGAATTCAAGAAACATGGCAGCAAAAGGGAGGCAGGTACATCTGGATCAAAAACAGAAATTGGTGGCAAAACTCAGCACGTCTGGCAGCATTTGCGGAGAGAAAGGAAAGTCAACATTTCAAATCCAGTAGCCCTTCTTTAGAACTGATTATAGCTGGGAAAAGGTTGGTATCTAAGCTGAAGATTGGGGGAATGAAGTTATCAATAAATGGAGATGGAGCCCAGAAAGAGAGAACAGCAGTTGGGCAGACAAAGCAATGGATATGGTGAGCCAGGGAGAAAAAGAAGCTGCTAATAGGGACCAATAAGTGGATGAAAATTGGTTGCTGTGATGAAAGCAGCCAATGTCATGACAGGGCCTGGGGTATCGGAGTGGGTTAAGGACATGGGAGA